ATAATTCATATTCTGAACTTACAGTATACTCAAATGTATTAATGAGTGTTGCAGTATGAGTTTTTGTTAAACTACTGGATAATTGAAGTTTAGGGCTTTGCCACTTAGATATGCAAATTGGGGTTTCAAAAATCTTTTTGGGGAACAAAACAGAATAAATGATTCTTTATAAAATGTCTATGCTAGAAAGTAATTTTCTTGGCAGACGAATTATGAGACACACACACACACACACACACACACACACACACACACACACATACACAAGTGCACACAAGTACCACTAAGCAAACCTCATACCAAATGTTGGTTAGGGATCTAAAAACTTAAGTGAAAATGTTTTTCATTTCCAGATCCTACCTGGCTTTTCAATGCTACTGATCTACTATGCAGTGACTCTGGGAAATGTAAATGTGAAGATAGCACTAAAAAAGGAATGTGCATAATAATAATTCATAATTTTTTAGACATAAAAAATTTTTAGAAACAATCAAGTTTATAATAAGGAAAGAAATGGAGATTATGGGAGGTGAAAACTTGACCTATCTGTGTCAACAATAGCACAGCCAGGACTAGAGTCCACACATCTAGCCTTTTCTTACACTATCTGCCTGGCAGAATAATTAATCTAACATTCACTCAGTATTTAGAGATACAGTATCATCAGATGAATAAACATTAACAACAATAAAAAGCATATGCTGAACTGGACAGTTTATAAAAAGTTTTGAGACATATTAGGATCCTTGTATTATACAACTGACAAGCTCTTTTGTTTTACTTTGAATCATCTGCTTTTGAAATTTTAACTAATACTTCTTTTAAGATAGTTTCTAAGCATTTCTTTCTCTTTCTATATCCATAAACTTATTATTATTATTTTTTTTTTGGTTAAGTTTTGTTACTTACCTCCTTTTAAATAAGGAAAAGATGTTGGTCCAGTCAGGATGAGCAGTAATAACATTTACCTTCTTTTGTGGTGTAACTAAAGTCATCACAGTTTGGAATTAAACATTAGTCAAATTCCAGGAAAAATCCAAGCTCAAACAAACAATTTGTGATATTCTTATTATTCCTTCTTGGCACTAACCATTACTAAACCAATTTTCCTGATTAAAAAATATACAGCACAAAAGTATATGTACTTGTAATATTGTTTGACGTGGTTAAAAAAACTGAAAACAATTAAGTATCTAGTGGGATAGTTCAATAAACTGAAATAGCCACTGTATATATCCCATACAATATCATATAGCTATTAAAAAAGAAAACAAGCTCTATATTAATCAAGGAATGTTACAGAGTAAAAGTGAAAAGTATGTCTCAGGTGTTCATAATGACTTCCACACTGCGTGTGTGTGTGTGTGTGTGTGTGTGTGTGTGTGTGTGTGTGTGTTCTTTATATAACCACAGAGAACACTACAAAAAGATACAGAAGATATTAACGATAGTATACTGCAAAGGTATAGAAGCTGTCAATACTGTATTTGGGGGCAACAATACAAAGAGAGGGAGAGTGTGTTAACATTAAGTAACTATTCTGTTAGATGGGGACCCTGAAGTAAGACTTAGCTGCCTTAAGCAGATCCTAGAACCTTAGAGTTTTGTTGTTGGCAGGAATATTTACTAAGATTTTCTAATTGTTATTCATCCAATGATATAGATAGCTATTTCATACATACACAGATAGCTATTTCACACTTACAACTTTCTTAAATAAAAATAGATGTTTTAAAGATCTATTCCTTTCAAAGGTAAGAAAACTTTTTTCAAAAAAAATTTTAGGGAAATTTATTGGGAAAATGGCTAAATCTATATGCCTATACAGAAAGATAGGTCTAAGTAAAATACACATTTTTAAGTAAGGTAGAAGAATATGTGTTGAGTTTGAGGTTTCTCAACCTTGGTACTACTAACATTTGAGGCAGGAAAATTATTAGTTGACATGGGTGGAGGCACACGCCTGAAATTCCAGCAACTTGAGAGACTAAGACAGGAGGATTACAAATTTGAGGCCATCTCAGCAACTTTTGAGGTCCTAGGCAACTTATGGAGATCCTGTCTCAAAATAAAACATAAGGTCTGGGGATGTGGCTCAGTGGTAAAGGACCTCTGGGCTAAATCCCCAGTACAAAAAAAGGAGAGAAAGAGAGCGAAATAAAGTTTGTTTGTTTTTTTTTTTTTGTAGGCAACCATTTTATACACTGAAGGATTTAGCATCCCCGGCCTCTACCCAATAGATGCCAATAGTGCTTCTGTAACCTCAGCAGTGACAACCAAAAATGTGTCCAGACATTACCAAAATAGTCCTAGGAGGTGAAGGGGTAACCATCCCTAACTGAGAACCACTGCTTCAGCTACAGGTTTTCTGAGAAAACAATTTTGAATGTTTTATACAAGTAACAATTATCCTTTATAGACTGCTGGGCAATATTTACATTTTAATGTTCTACAGTGGGAAATGTTAAATATAAAACAGTATCACATCAATAGCACTCTACTTCCAAGACATGAAAACTAAAGCTTAAAAAGTATTGGGAAGTAAAAGGACTATCATTATGAAATATACTTCTTATCTACTATGTAAATTCAAGGTAAATACCACCCTAAGGGAACTCAGTATTTTATGACTAAAATTAAGGAAAGATAAGTGTATTCTTCTAAACTGTATTATAATTACAAAATTTTCAGCAATTGACACACAAAAAAATTCCTAAGTCACCATTTCATCAAGAAGCTAGAGAGGAAAAAGAAGCATTGAAACATGTGAAACTCTCCTATAAAATTCAGAATAATAAAACTCACAAAAAAATATAATCCATGTTGGTTTCATATACAGCTTATATTATTTTTAAAACTCCAAAACAAACAAAACCAACTCTATAGGTTGAACAATTATAGATATATTAAATTCTACCCTCCTACTAAACTTCATCAATACTGTAGAAGTACTCACTCATTGAAATAATTGTGGCCCCAACTTAAGACTTACTATTTCTAACAGAAGTAGCTCTTTGTCTTTGTTCATCATTCATACAAGGTCATAAGTTAACAAAACATATAAATCCCTAAAGATTTTAATCACATAGTTCATTCCAAAATTTACTATAAGTTCCTTAGAAATAAAATTTTTGGAACTGACACACTATTCCAAGTACAGAAATGTGCACTATATGAATGATCAACTGTGGAAATCAGCATTCTCTTGACAGATAGGAACTACACCAAAAAGCAAAGCCACAAGAAAGTCTAAGTATAACATCTTAGGGAATGTGTGTGAACAGGTAGGCATATAAAAGAAAGAAATGGATAGACATAGAGGACACACACACACTAATCATTTGACCAGACAAATGGAGTGTCTTTCAAACATTCTTCTGGTTATGGAGTCCTATTATTTCAAAATAAGACAAATGTGCAAGAGAAGTTAAAACCTAAAGGCCCTGAATAAAAAAAGCAGAGAGAAAAAGCCTTGGCTACTTATTCTCATTTCTTCAAAGGAATCCCAGAGAGGCTACAAAGAACTGCTTAAAAACAAAAAGACTACAGGAGAGGGAATATGAGAGGGAACCCAGAAATAAGACTAGAATACGTAGGCTGGGGGAAAGGGCTTAGGTAATGAATTTCCTTAAATGCTAGCTTTAGTTATATTTAATGAATATTAGGGAAACACTGCCGTTGTCAAAACAGGGGAAGGAGATCAATGCTGTGCTGTACAAAACAATAAAATAAATCTAGTTCATTACTAGACAACTAGTCTTCAAAATTCTCAGGTGTTTTCTATATTTTCTTTTTTTTTTTAAGAGAGAGAGAGAGAGAGAGAGAGAGAGAGAGACTTTTAATATTTATTTTAGTAGTTTTCGGCGGACACAACATCTTTGTTTGTATGTGGTGCTGATGATCGAACCTGGGCCGCAGGAATGCCAGGTGAGCGCGCTACTGCTTGAGCCACATCCCCAGCTCCTTCTATATTTTCTTATCATATGAAAAAGACACATAAGACAAGCATAGACCGTACACGCAGGAAATAAAATGTAGAGAAAGGACACATTTTAACAGAATATAAATGTTCATCAATAACATTATCTCTACTTGATAAATATATCTTGATAAATATACTTGACAAATATTATTTCTTGTGAGTCTCCTGAATGCCCACGCCTGCAAATGCAGACTTTTAGGTGTCGTTTTCCATGTCAAGTGGCAACCAGTAGTCACACCAACTGTCAGTTTGACGAGTATTCTCTTAGCATTCAGAGATAAAGTGCACATATATAACGCCCTTCCTGACAAAAATGAAACCAGGGAGATGAGAGCCAGCCACCAGAGGGAACACAATCAAGCTGGCAGGAAAGGACTGGAAATGGCCATGACAATAACCCAGAAAACTGAGAAAGGGTAAAAGAAAGATTGCTTATTCTAACCTACTCCAACCCCCTCCCCCCAAAAAAAGATCTATTCACATAGCATGGAGTAAGAATGGACAAATAAGAGAAAAAAAAATTGTCCTTGGTGGATAAAAAAAGATTCATAATTCAGAACACCTCTGACTTCATGGGCAATCTGCCCAAGTAATCAGATTACCAAGTAATCCTTAGTACCAGCATGTCCACTCTCAATACCTTCACCCCAAAGACATTTCTACCTTACCACTCTCCTTCAGAAGCCTAATGCTGTTAAATACCCAAAGGCCCACTTTATTCACATGATTCTTTCTTGTTTTTTCCCACCTGCTTTATTCAATCATGCATTCAAAGAGCATTTATTCAGTGTCTAGTCAAGTTTAGTTCTAGGCCATCAAGACAAATTAATATAAGAAAAACATTTTTGAATTGGTAGAATGAATAAAACTATTAAAAACATACATACATATGGACACACATGTCTATATACCTACACATGCATTCATACACATACATATAAAATAAGTGAGATAGTAATAAATTCTATGGAGAAAAATAAAAGAGAGAAATGATGGGGTTAAGGGATGTTAATTTTACCTTCGCCAAAAAGAGAGTCTCTGATGACATTTGAGCAGAAATCTGAAAGGGAGGGAGATAGCCATGTAAATATTGAGAAAAAAGGATATTCCACAGAAAGCATTGCAAGTGCAAAAGCTTGAAGACAAGAATGTACTTGGAACTTTTAAGAACTAGCAGTCAGTGTGGCTGAACCAAGTTCTAGTAGGTGATCATCAAAAGATAACATCAGAGATATAAAGAACCAGATTATACATAGCCTTTTACATCACGATGAACACCAAAAGTTTTTCAAAGTGAAAAAGATAGCTACCATAGAGTTTTTGAGCAAAGGAATGACATCATCTGACTTAAGTTTCTATCTGCTGGCAGAGACAAACAGACAACCTAGAAGACGATTGCAATAGTCCAGATTATGATATGCTGGATTGAAACAAAGTGGTAGCAGTGTAAATAAGAAGTAATCAGAATCTGCTTCTAAATGACATTCCAAAGGCTTAAACCAACAGGATTTACTACTGATTTGGATATGGGATATAAGGATCAAAAGTAGTTCAGGTTGACAGACAGAATCACAACTTATTGTAACAGAAACCCATCAGCAGAAATATCCAAAGAAACAATGCCAGAGTAGGAAAACCTAAACTGTAAATGATAAATTACTAGAGATTCTATGGAGATAACTTCAAGAGTTAAAAACTCCGGGGGGGGGGGTGGAATCTAATCATAAGAGAGATGCTACTCTTTGGTGAGTTTTACCTACAGGAGTTCTATAAGGTCCTCATAGTGAATATCAAACAAAAATCCCCTCTTAGATTCAGCAGGGGGAGAACAGGAATCATTTTTGAAATAAGCCCAAAACATTCTGTTCTTAACAAAGCCTGACCTTTGGAGAAACTATTTTACCAGAGTTTGCTAAGATTTTATTAGAATCCAATCCACCTAAGGAAAAGGAAATGCCTGATTCTAGCCCATCTAGCCATCTAGTCTCACCTAAAGGTGGGCCCGGGAGACTGAGAAGCACTAATAAAGTTCACAGCCCAGGGCCACAGGCTGAGACTGGGCCAGTGGCAGTGGCATACAACTTGTAATCCCAGTTACTTGGAAGAGAAGCTAAGGCAGAGGATTGCCAGCCACAGAATTAGTTAGACTCTTTCTCAGAAAGGAAAAATTTAAAAATGGACAGGGGATATAGCTTACTGGTAAACATACCCCTAGATTCAATCCCCAGTACTAGGTAAAATAAAATTAGATACATGCCACAGCATGGATGAACGCCAAAGACATTATGCTAAGTGAAATAAACTGAATACAAAAAGACAAATATTGTATGCTTCCATTTATATGAGGTATAACTAGAATAGTCAAATACATAGAAAAAGTGTAACAGTGGTTGTTGGGGGGTGATAGAAAGTTACTGTTTAATGGGTACAGAGATTCAGTATGAGATGACAGAGGAGTTCTAGAAATGGATAACAGAAATGGGGATGCACAATAATATAAATGTACTTAATGCCAATGATCTATGTGTGTAAAAATGATTAAGTGGTCAATTATAAGAAATATATATTTTGCCAAAATAAAAAGAAGTACATAATGTTCAGAAAAATTAAAGAGAAAGATATAAACAATCCAGTTTAGAAAGCTCTTTGCTAAAAATTATTATCTTAAATATTTTACTTTGAAGTGGAGCTTAAAGCATAAGCATCAACAGAAGAATGATTGAATAATACATCTAAGTTTTGGAATATTATGTCACTTAAAAGTTGTGAGAATATACTAGTGGTGCTAAAGTTTAATTATTTATAATATGATCTCATTTTTAAACAATACGATCACCTAAAGTACAAATGAATGTTTAGGAATGGATATGTGATTGAAGAAAACAACAGTATACACACAAGTTTTATTATAAAAGTTATTTTGGGGTAGGTGAGTTCTGGAAGTAGAAGGTAGCAAAGATTTAAAAAAGTATAAAGAAATAAGACCACACTAGTAAAAAGAAATGTAAATGATATGGTTTCATGAATGTAATGTGTGCTGGCATTTAAAAATAGAACTGGGTGTGGTGATACACACCTGTAATCCCAGCAACTTGGAGGCTGAGACAGGAGGATCCAATTTCAAGGCTAACTTCAGGAACTTTGTAATACCCTATCTCAAAATTTAAAAATATCTGGGGGATGTAGCTCAGTGATAAAGCATCCCTCTGAGTTCAATCCCAGTACCAAAAAAAAAAAAACCAAAAAAACAAAAACAAACAAAAAACAATAGTAGAATGCCAGGATATTCCATTACTAAGTATAGAAAGCAACTCATTTTTCTCATCTTTTTTTTTTTTTAAGGTGTAGATGGACACAACACAATGCCTTTATTTTTATGTGGTGCTAAGAATTGAATCCGGGTCCTGCCCGTGCTAGGCAAGCGCTCTACCGCTGAGCCACAATCCCAGCCCCCATTTTTCTCATCTTAATGCAAGGCTACAACTCTGCATGATAGCTGGCCTTGTAGAACCATTCATTCAATCCACATTATGGGAATATAAGAGGGCCTTACTTGTTATCAAATAACTATGATTTTAATTGGTGGGGTTAACTGGGGATTGGAACCCATGCGCTCGACCTCTGAGGTACACCCCAGCTCATGATTATGATTTTACAAGGATGAAATATCAGAAAAATCACCAATCTAAGCACTTACCTAGAGCCTTATCTCCTCCCACCCCCACCTGGATCCATTACTGACAAATATACCAAAATTCAACATTCCATTCAATGTATCTGGGCCAACACTGATATAGTTCTCAATGAAAATATTTTATTTATCACAATATCATTAATAATAACTGTATTGAATGTTTAGTATCATTAATAATAACTGTATTGATGCTTAGTAATAATTAAATGCTCTACATCCCAGGTTTTAACACTTATTCCATTATTATTATTTCTATTATTTTACAAATGAGAAAAGAAAGATTAGATTTGTTAAGTAACTATCTATAGTCAAAAAAATAAAACCAAGATATGTTTAACTGGAAAACAAATGTTCATCTCAGAAAATTATATTCTTTAGAAAGAAACTGTTAGTTACCTAGTTTACTTCATTTAACCAAATCAAAAATCACCTCGAGAAAAGTATTATTAGTCCTATTTTCAAATGAAGAAACTAAAGCTCAAATAAGTCTATACATCATCCAAGGTCACAGAGTTCAAAGCAGATCTGGAATACACTAGGGTCCATCTGACTCTAAACTCATGACTTATTTGAGATGCCACCTTTCCTTTCCTATTTATCCTCTGTGGATTTTGTGGGATCAATAAAACCAAGGGCTGTAAAAGAACTGTTTTTGCATCATTTATAAAACCTTATTACTCAGTGTTTCTTTCATAAAAATTCAAATGCTAGATTTTCTCTTAGATTCCAATGCCAAAAGAAGTTACTTTCCTCAACATAAATCATATCTAACCATTTGTTCACTTGTGCTAACTTCTATGATGTTGATAGACATGGAGCCATAAGGTCCTTCCTCTGAAAGAGTTTACAGATATAATATAATGCATATGTAAATAACCATAATAAAAGGAAAAAGTAATATGCAACTCTAATTAAAACAACAAAATACACAATCCATTACATTTACTTTTGCTTTAGTTGCTGAAGCTGAGAGCCAAATTTAATGTTTAAGAACAGAAATCATTTCACCTCAGGTTCTTAGAAGAGAAAATTTAATCTGATTTTTCAACCACACAGCTTTGTTTGTAAATGTCTATTGTATATTCATCCTATCTCAAGCTATCTCAAACCCCTTTGTGGAAACAGGTAGAGTATATAAAATAAATAAGTAAAGACAGACTAGTCTAATAATACAAACTGAATCCACAGAATGAAAAATTCTTTTATGGCATACTGAGCTAATTTTATCTTTACATAGCATACCAGAGACTTTCAGGGTTTGTTGGAGGGTCAAATGAAACAATATGTTAAAAGTACTCTGAAATCTGGGATTCTAGAAATGCCTATGAATGAAAACTTTATTTTTACTCTCTATTTTCCACAGACATTATACAAATTTTTAAAACCACACTGGATTTATATTTAGAATGTGTAAGTTGGGAAAATGACAAGGGAAAATGGGATATGGCTGGGTAAATGGTGTTTTGAAAGGCCAATGCAATGCAAATAATGTGAGTTTTGTATAGTGTCTTTGTTTCCTATAGCTTTAGGGGGAGGTGGTGAAGAGCACTAGGCTAACAAAAGTGATGGCTTAGAAGCACTACCATTACTCTGTTCTTTTCACATCCTGTGCATGGTAATTTGCTACTGCCTCAGCAATGATATCTGCCAAATCTTTAAGTGCCCTATGATGCATGTCATTGGGCCCTGCTGATTTAAACACATTCAACTTTTTAAAGTAATGCTGGACCTTGATTCTCCAGTCAGTTTTGGCTTCCCTCCCACCCATTCAGATTTTCTAGACAAAAAAGGATTCTGTTATCTCAGAAGTAGTGATTTTGATGAACATAAAATGGCACAGAAAGACTTTTAAAAATACCTATTACTACCTTTCCTCTTTAATAAAGATCTAACTTTTTTGTTTTCTTCCACTGGCAATACAACAAATCCTTAGGCATTCAAGCGGGATCTGTTCTTCAAATATGGAAATTCAGAATAAAGTGACAATAAAGAAAGAAAGGAATGAGGAAGTGGAAGGACATATAAACATATTACTTTTTGTCCCTTTTTCTCTTTGATCCTGTTCCTTCCACTTCAAGTCAAGGAATGGCTACGGAGCTAATGTAGTACAAAAATAATATGGTGTTATAAAGAGAATAATGGATAAAATTGACCCTTTTTAAACACTAAAAAGCGGTAAGACCTGAACAAATCAATCACTGAATCATTTTTTTCACTTATAAAATAAAGAATTTAAACTAGATCTTCATCTGTTTCAGATTTTTAAAAATTCAACGAATTTAAAATCAAAGTTATAAAAAATGCAATGATATCCTGGTTTCCCACAGCCTCTTCTACCCAATGGAAACTGCCCTCCCTGAACTGCC